CAGTTAAATAGATTCAGATTGAATTCATTGCTCCATGCTGCTAGTGACAGGATAATTATATATATCATAAAATTTGTGAGGGATAGATTAAGGAACCATTGGCTGTGGTTGCTAGGCGCTTGCATTGCAAGAAGTCACTCTAGCACTCATTCTTGCAATTGGCATTTATTCCTTTAGTGGCAAAATACAAGTTATTTTTAAAGCTATTTTAAAGCAGATTTTACATTTTTAAAACTGTACAAACTAAATTATCCTCTTCACATTCACAAGAAGAATACTTGCACTTTTTTATATTGATGGGCAAATATTTGGGAGAATTTACAATTTTCTAATTTTCTGTAAAACCTCACATGGCTTTTGAATAAAAAGTAGGCAAAACTGGTGAATGAAATTTTTCTGACCTATTAAAAAGGCATATAATGATCAGGGTAAAGTAAAATATTTGTCATTTTTAATTCTGGAGAGGATTAATATGCATGCATATTTTATGTATATTGAGCAAACTATGGAAACAGAAAATACTAAAATAGTTTTGTTTCTTCTTTTCCTTTGATCACTAACTCCCACAGAAAAAAACATTTTTACATTATTAGAGTAATCTGGATGATTGACTACCAGAGATGGAACATTATTTATTAGAGCTGCCTGGGCAATCTAACACTGACTCTCAGAGAGAGGAAATTATTACACTAACAGAAATACCTGCTTAACTCAGCACCAATTCACAGAGGAAATAGTATAAATTATTAGTGATGCCTGGTTTATGTAATATAGACTCCGACATAAGAAATGTCAGAACATTAGTAGAGTGATGTAGTTGATGTAACACTGACTCCCAGATGGAACACTATTACACTACTGTAATCGCTTTTTGATCTGACCCACAGGACATTATCATTACAGCAGCCATATTAAACTGATGATGACTTGTTACAAAAAGGTATCTACTATTATAACATCCAGTTTCTATCTGTCCTGAAAATGCATGCACACTTTACTATTTAACCCTATCAACACGGGTCAAAGGTCATGTCATCACATTTGTTGACTCACATTCAAAGTTTTATTCAACCACTATGTTATGAATTTATCCAATAAGTTTGGTATCAAATTGAAGATTAAAATTAAAATTTTAGTATTATAGATTAGTTAATTTCTTAATTTAAAAGTAAGTATTAAAAAAAAAACACACCTAAATATCAATTTTTGTGCATCATGTGATATGTTGAATGAGGCATTGGTTCAAATTAGATGTTTGTGATGTCCAAATACAAAGTCTATAGTTTTTTACAAATTAGGAACTCAAATTACCTATATTGACAAGCTAGAATATAAAATAAGAATGTTCCATCTTTTCTATTTGCTGAGATATTAATACGTTTACTGACTCAAACACAGTGGCCACACCCACCTCTTTCCATTTTTGGAAACACTTGCTTACATATACCTAATCTGTCTATGACGTGAGAATAACTAATTAAAAGCTCAGTATGTCTCCCTAGTGGCTTTCTCAGCCTTTTTCAAACATAAGGACACAGAGCTCTTTATATAAGTTTACAACTGGTAAGGTAAAACTTTAATGAGCTTGAATGTTCACATTTATTAGTCCCAAAAATAGCTTAGTTACTAAGCTCAATAAATTATAGTGGAATTCTATGATTTTGATATAGTAATTTATGATTTTTGGTTATTTAAAAATGTATATATAAAATCTAAAAAAAAATTATTTTATTTCACATCCTCTACGTGTGAAATTTGATAAGGCTTAGTAATCTATGGCAAGCAGCAAACGAGCATGAAGTTTGTAACCAGAAAAGATCATTGTTTGCTATACTTCTTTATTTGCTGTTCTTCGTTTTAAGAAAAATAAGTTTAAGAACTTATTTGTAAATAGTAATAATGTATATACATATATAATGTATTATAACTGAAATGTGACTGTATTTTACAAAATACTAGTCCACTAAAACACAGCCAAGACAGGTCACTTTGTAAAGGGCAATCATATATTTTTGGATACGGTTACATGAGTGCATGTGCGCTGCGTCAATTCAACTTCTGTAATGTTAGTGAGGCACGACTGAAAATGTATAATGTTATGAGATTTAAGCTATTTAGAGTAAACATCTGAGTTCTCGTGTTATAATTTGTAGTCATTCTCGAACAAAAAAAACATAATTTATATTTATTTCCTACTTTTTTATGGCGGTTATGAGGTCAGTCAAGTTGACAGACCCCCATATAGAGTTAGGGTAGAGAAAATAACAGATAAAATATGAAGTTTTACTGAAAACGAACATCTGAAATGTACTTAGGAGGTTGTAGAGATTACACTAGATATTTTAAATTTTTGGGATAAAGAATAGTTTTTCTAAAATCATAACATAAAAATCACTTTGCACTTAGACTAGTAATGAAACAGACTTGATATATTGACTAACAAATCTTTAGTAAAGATACTTAATTAAAAAATCTGATTCTTTGTGCACAAAAGACTTGTAATGTTTACTAAAAGTCTACCAAATTTTGTGAAGGTGCACATACTGCATTATAGTATAAATACTTAACATGTACAAATGTGTATACTAACTCATGTATTTTATACAGAGCACCTTCGCGAAAGGGTTAAATGCATATGCACTTCATTTCAATGGATGTAAACAAAAGGCAGATGTAAATATACTTTGGAAAACATTTTGTACAATAAAAATTAAAAATTTATCAATGTTTTTTAAAAAAGTGTAGTGTTAGGTCATAGAAAACCATTATAAGTTTATTTAATGATAGTATCAAGTATGGTAAAGTGTAGCCCTAACTAAACTAAACAAAAAATGTACACAAGTTACAACATTAATCTATCTCTTTATCCAATACAGGCCATACTTAATAAAGGTTTAACTAATGTTAGGCCTAGAACAATTGGACATATATATACTGTGATGTTTGAGATTAGAATTCTTTTGTATTATTCTAGAAATCCTGTATAACTCTCTTGCTACAGGTAGATCAAGGTGTACATTTCATAACATTTTAAGGAGTTACATTCAAAATTTAATTAAACTACTTTGTTATCAATGTATATGAGTAAACTTGACATCAAAATGTAATCAATAAAAGGAAATATTTAAATAAATCCTCAATCTACCCTTGTATGAGAACTGTCACATTTGTCTCTAGATCTTGCCCATTCTCTAATTTATTCACTACTCCTCTGAGAAGTATGGAATTTAATGTAAATTACACATTATAGTGTATTTGTTACTTAGGTAAAACATAATTTCTATAACCTTCAATCTTATTAGTTTACAGAGCTATAAACTAGAATATAAGAAACACCCACCTGTTGCATCCTCTCTTTCACAAATTGTCAATAATTCTCTTATGTTTTATACAGTATTATTTATAGATAGGTTTAATCTATCAAATGATGAATTATATTATGTTGTTTTATGTACAAAGAGTTCTCTATTTCGCTTCCAGTTCAAACTTTATTCCCATGTAAAACACATCGAAGAGCTTAGCTAATTTTTCAATGTCTCTTATCACATAGTCAGAAAAATTATGATACTTGTAGGGTATTGTTTGTTTTTTACATGTTAATACTTTGTATTCTGAAGTGTATTATTTAATTACACAAATTGTTTCGTGTTGTAGTATCATAAGTATAAAAAAGTAAGCTTAATCTTCAACAACAGCTGATCCAGGTAAGCACCATTTTTCTTGCTTTTCATGTGTATTCTTTATTTATCATTATAAAAGTAACTAAAATGTAAAAATTACAAACTTATAAGGTTCAGGCAAGGCTAGATTAGGTAAGATAAAAATAAAATAAAAATTCTTCACAGGGTATGCTCACTATTAGCTTTTGTGTTACATAATTTGATACAGTAATGTGGGCTACATATTCACCAAGTAATTTACAACTTGTGTGGTGGGATTATTAGTTAGACATTGTTCAAAGAGCAATAACATCTTTGTAGAAACAAATGTATACTGTTAAGAACTTTAAATTATTGAGGATAAACAACTGTAGTTTCCTATTACAATTTGCACTTTACTTTTTTATGGTGTTATGAGGTCAGTCAAACTGACTGAATGTGTATAGAGTGAAGGTAGAGAAAATAACAGATAAAATATAAAGTTTTAATGAAAGAAACATTTGATATTTAGAAGGTTTTAGAGATTACACATATGAAACATGACAATTTTCAGATGAAGAAAAGCATTTTAAATCTTACAATGAGAATCACTTTGCACTCAGGACAGTATACACTTTGACTCCATATATACGCAGAGAAATGTTTAGTACAAATATTTCAATAAAATTTTTATTCTTTTCTTCAAAACTTGTAATGTTTACTGAATACTTGCAAAATTTTGTGAAGATACACAAAACACATTAAAAGGTATAGTATGGAAACTCTAAATGTTAATTTGGGATCATGAACTAAGTTGAATCGACAGAGCCCATAGCAAGAAAGTTAAAGAAGTACTGTTGCAATAAAAGTACTAATCTGATCGCAAATGTTTTGCGGGTCTATGCTGGTCATTATTATAATACACAAAATGTCTGATATCACAGAAAGATGCAGTTACAGGAAATATTCAGTAATCTTTGTTGAACTAGGTAAACTATTAAAATGTCATATGTTAACATATAATTTTCATAATCTTTACCAAGGAGCTGTCAGTAACTCTTGACTGAGGTCAAAAGTTAGTAAATGAAACCCTGGCCTAAGCAGAACATCAAATAAAAGTATTTAATGACTAAAATAAACCACAGTAATAGTGGAATGTCAAGGAAAAGAATATGTAGTTTAATTTGTAAGCCAGAAATAAACTTGTATAATTTTATAGGGACTTGAAAAGCTTTAGTAAACTCTTAAATGAAGATTACTGATTAAGGAGAATGAAATAATAATAATAATACAAATATGTAAGTGCTTCCTTACAATTGCAGAGAAATCTTCAAACTTATATCAGTTACAGCAAATACTTACCAAGCTTGCTGGGATACTTAAGACCACCATATCGTTTCCAGAAACTCCAACATAGCTGACACAACCTACACTGCATAAGTGGAGGGCCCCACGCATACCACTGGTGAGAACTTAAAGCTAAGTGAAACAGACATGAGATCTCTCAGACAAAATTATAATCACTGACTGAAATTAGATAGACATCACAGAACTTTTCTTAATGATAATTTTCCTGTCAAGCTTTTCATTTGGTTTTAATATTTCAAATCTACTATACATTTCTAATAATTTTTTTATTAAAAAGTCTAAAGCTGTAATGTAATTAAGATGATGGGATAGTATTATCAAGCAAAGGGTATAATATAAAATAATGTCAGTTTATTTTACTGTAAATAATAAGCCTGAAAATTAAAAAATGAATAAATAATGCTGTTTTGGAAAATGCAGAAAAACTGACTTTAAAATAGCTCCATCAAGGATAAAGTTACCAGATGACGACTCCATAAGTATTTGTAACACCTTGACTACTCTACCAGATCAACATATTTATTTCACTATCAAGTCTTTAATTTACTTACTGTAGCAGCTCTCGCAAGGTCGTCCTCCTGACACCAAGGTTTCCCCATTTGGACCATTTAGTGGAGTTGGTTTGTTATTACTGTGACAAAAATATGTAAGCATTTTAAATATATATACACACATATATTTTAAAAAGTTTGACAGAAACATAAAATTAGCCAGGATCTTGAGAATCCTCTTACATGAAATTAGAATTCAAAATGCAGTAACATCTATAATTATTTTTTTTTTTTACTTTTGTTTTTGCATTCTGCTGGCATGAAAAGGGCCTTAATACAAAAAAAATCCCAAATAAAATGTTTTCCAGAAAATTACATTACTTATAATTTTCCTAAGTATATATATGAGCATATAAGATAAAAGAATAATAATTAATTATGCAACATTTTTAACTTTTCATTATTTCTGTATTTGAACATTTTAGCAGTTTCAGCTAATTCTTAACATCGGCATTAAATCTGTCATATTACATGACAATACAAAAAAACAACAACAAAAAACATGAAGAAACTAAACTCACTAATTGGGAATGTAGACTTGCTTGAGCTTGCTTTCAGCTTCTACTGCTTTTACCCTTTTCTGTTGAACATGACGGTCTGTTGTTTTCCACATGTAGTAGTAGTCAACTATGTTTTTAAGACTCTTCCATGGAAGCTGTAATACAGGAACCAGGAAGTTTTAACAACATATACATAAGACAGAGTAATTAAATTTCAAACAAATAACTGTTTAAAATGATTTTCAGTTTCTCATGTAAAATTACTTTTAACATTTACAGCATATAAACTTTTTTTACATAAAAGTAACAATCTATAATTTTCATCAGATTTTTTTATGGAAGTTATAAGTTATAACACCAATTGTTGTTTAGACCAATACACTAGAAAAGAACAATTCAGAAAAGAAAAATATTTATGAAAAATGGATTTTAGTAAAACACTGTAATGTCACTAATATACAAACTGAGAAAAAAGTCAAGTACAAATTCAAACTTTATCATGTACAAAACAATGTCTGATTTATTCATACATAAATAAATATACAATTGTAACAGAGATAAACAGACCCAACTTACAAACAGTAAAGCTTTGACAAAATACAATACAGTTCTTACTATGTCATGCACAAATGGTGCCAAGATTATTTTCCAAGTTGATTTTATAACTACCACTTAGAGGGAAGCAAAATAAAAGTCTTGTGTATATAGGATAAAGTACTCTTGAATTTAGAACAGCATAATTTTGTGTGCATGTTAGGAGATTTTAGTAAGTTACATTCCAAACTTAATTAAAGTACTTTCTGATCATGGTATATAAATAAACTTGGCATAAAAATATTGGTAATAATCCAAGTTTTAGCATTATATACGTTTCAACTCTTAATCTTATAAGGCAATATAATAAAAAAAATCCTCAGTGTGAGAACTGTGACATTTACTATCTAGGTATCCCTCTTCACTAATTTATTTACCACCCTTCCAAGAAGTATGAAATTTAATGTTGTTGTCATTGTTTTATAAGCAAAGCCACATTAGGCTATCTGCTGTGTCCACCACAAGGAGTCAAACCCTGGAGTTTAGCTTTGAAAATCGATAAGACTTACTGTGATGAAATTTAACACAAATGGTTATCTTATTTAGTTATAGATCCATCAAATAGAAAATCAGTCCCCTATTGCTACACCCACCTGTCATATCCTCTCTTTTAGAAATTGCTAATAGTTCACTCTCGTGTTTAATACTATACTGTTTATAACAAATAGAAAGCCAAGGTTTTAATATATCAAGTAACACATTATATTACATTGTTTTCTGTATAGAGAATTGTCTATTTTGCTTCCAGTTTAAACTTTATTCCCATGGGAAGTACACTGATGAATTTAGCTGAATTTTTAATGGATCTTGTCCAATTTTATGGCAAGAATATTAATTTAGACATGGTTCAAAGAGCAATAAAACAATAAAATTTAAGTATAAACAGATGTATAATATTACGAGTTTGGAGCTATTTAGGATAAACAAATGTAGTTTCATGTTTCAATTTGAAGTGATTCTGGAAAGAAAAAATTGTTAATTTAGATTTATTTCTCTCTCTCTCTTCTTTTTTTTTTTGGTGATTACGAGGTTGGTTAAATTGACCAACCTTGTATATAGAGATAGGGTATAAGAAATAACAGTTACAATATAAAGTTTTACTGAAAAACAATGTTTTACAATCATTTAGGAGGTCTTAGAGATGACATAAATGAAATTTGAAATTTTTCAAATGAGTAAAAGTATTTTGCAACTGCTCTATATATATATTCACAGACAAATCTTTATTAAAAAGACTTTAAAAAGATAAAAAAATTGTTGACAGTCACCTTCCTAATACACGAGAGAACATAATTTTGAAAAAACAAAAACAAACTATGATTCTCCAATAAAACCAAATACATTAGTTACATTGAAACATCATAAATACTTGATAATTTTTCCAAATAAAAAAATGCTGCTCCAGAAGCAGCAGTTTGTGTGTACATACAAAATCTTGCCTAATGTCAATGAAGTCTTTTCCATATTTTTCAAGTGCTTCTTCAAAGAGATTTGCCTCAGAGGCTGACCACTCTTCCATCTCATCTCGACAGAGTATAGGACCTTTTGGCGTGACTAGGCTAGAGATTGCACTTGCAATATCATAATTGTGTTGGTGCAGAATGTCCATTGCATGAAACTAGAAAATACATAAACTTTTGTTTTAGGAAATAAAGTATTCTAATTAGATGTTGACACACTTTATCAAAATTATGCTTAATCACATATTCCATGATTACATACACAAATTCTTTTAACATTTGGGAATTTCCCTAGACGTAAATACAAGTTAATATATTCCAAAACAAACACTTTTTTTCCAATCTTATACATATTGTTGTTTATTCTGCTTCCAAAGGTCGTACACAAGAAAACTGAGATTTGATCTTTATTCTGAAATGAATGATGAATACTGATGATTTCTGTGAGACTGTTACCTGGATATGCATCTCCAAGACAACTGGAGCTGAAAATTTTGTTCTGAGTACCTATAGTAGAGATTATAGCTCTCTCTAGACTTTAAAACCAGGTGGAAAAAACAAGGCACAAAGTTAAGAAGATTTCTCACCAGGGTGATGTCACGGGATGCTGCTGCTGCACTCATGTGGAGGCTTGGCTGCTTCACAGAACTTGAACAATCCAGAGCTCTAGCAAATGTACCTATAGATCTGCAATGTATAGCTAATTTCAGATATCATGTGCAGTAACATGAAACACAATAATCATGTAGGCATGTTACTGGGAATACGTTTAAAAGTGAATTATTAATTTAATTGGGTATTAGTGATAGATAGCCTCTATGTGGATATGTATATTATACATAACTAACGTGATGGCAGATTACAGTGGAATGATTGTTATCATGAGCCTAATACACTGACTTCTCATTCATTTACACTCAGTAAACATCTCAAGAGTAATAGATAAAGAAATGGTTAATGAACATGAAACACCAGGTATAAAAATTAAATATATTTGCCATTTTTAGCCTATCTAACCAGAAAACTATGTAATGTGACTGTGCCAATGCTAACCTCTATGAAAAGGAGACATTAGCTGGATTTAATATCATGCATTAATCAAGTTACTTATAAACATAAGCCAAGTGAATCAAAGTTGAATTACATAAGCTATAAGCTTTGCTTCAATAAATTAAAAATATTTAACATGTAAATCTTCAGGTTACCTTCACACAGCCTCCATAACAGTGATTAATAATCAGTTTTCTAGCTTGACAAAGATAAAAATGGCAGAGGCTTGGGTCTTGTACTGTAGCAGTTAAAGGTCATGTTATTAGTAAGTAAACATTACATGCATGACTAAGCTAACCACTATAGGAGCTGGTCTTGATTTAAGATGCTGTCAAATGAGTACACCCAACATTAAACCACAATGAAGATGAAAAAAAATCTGATTCTTCAGTAAGTTAATTCTTTTATACTTTTATTAGTGGCATAAGGTAACCTCCTTCAGTCACACAAGTTTCTATAGCCCAAGCTTAACCAGTACATAAAAATAAAAACTTCTTGCAATGGAATACAAAACAATAGACCAAAAAGTTAATATGTTGGCAGTAAGTATAATAAAACTCTCATTGTTTTGTATATAAAAACATAACCTTAAAAATATCCCAACCCATCGGGTGATAATACTAAGTTACTTATTACAGCCAAGCTTTCACTATTTTTGGCATAAGCTTTTCTGTTGAGAACTTACCTACAGATAATAAGAAACTGGTCTATTTGTCTGTCTGATAAGTTATGATGAGGTGTGTAAACTAGGGTTTCAAGATCTTCCAAATGCCTGCCATCATCTTCACCTAGAGATATGAAATGTTGTTGGTCAAATGCAGAAGAAACAAATCTAATTCCAATTACTTTATATTCATTACTGGAATTATTCTACACAGTAAAACTATCTAGACTATCAAGTACAGTTTGTTAACTTTGTTAATTTACAGTCTCAAATAAAATGAATTTTGTGTAAACTAAAAAATGGTAGTTGTTTTTAACAGTATTTATTTATGATTTTACACATGTCCAAGAAGAATTTCATCCAGACTCTTAACTCACATAGATGAAAAGATAAAATACTTTTGTATTTTCAGACATTACTATTAAGTATCTGAACTTTTTCTTTACTTCAATAAAAACTTATTGCTTTGCATCAGTCATTTGATGTGTCCCAATTATGACAGAAATTACACTAGTGAAATATAAAAAAAAAGGCTATGACAATAAAATTAAGTATGATCTCAACTAAATAATGTTGAATCATGACTGCCAAGAGGAGTTATACTGAAATATGACAAGCTTCTCCAAGATAAAACTATCACTGTGACAAAATTTATTTTAGCCAAACTTTATACTCTTTACAACTACTTAAAAGTAACATTCAGATTTTAAAATAAAATTAAAATACCTCCACAAAATTTGGACAACTTCTCAAATAAAGACCTATTTATTTTCTTTGGTCTTTCAACTTTCTCACTTGGGTCAGGTGTGATCTACTGATTAGTATGTTAGGTTTGTTAAGTCAAAGGTTTGAGCCATTACATGCCACTGAACATGGTCCATTGTGAGGCATTAAACTGTGACAGTCAATCCTGCTATATGGTTACAGGTAACCACCTGAGCAGCAGTTGATGCTGATTGGTTGGCCTCCTTCCAGTCAACAGTACCAAATTAAGGTTGGCTATACCTAAACATGAGGGGTCTCTGACCTGACCATTTAGTCCGCTTGTTGCACAAGGTGTTGTTCAGATCAAAAATTACAGTATCAACTTTCTCTCCACCTATCCCCATTGGCCATTAAACTGCATGACCTGTCATATCTTTGAGCAATAAGTTGGGGATTCATCTTTATCCATACACATACTCCCCATGAATGGGCCAACATTCTGAATGACTCTGTAAATTCAGATTTTCTCAAGATCTTTATCTGATGTGGGAAGAATATGGAATAGGAAACTTTTAATTTTCATTCTTCAGTTAAAAAATTAATTTCAAATACAAGAACTTACCTCTACCATTACTTCCTATGTATATGTGGAGAAAGGACTAGAGAAAGCAAAGAATGAGACTCACTCTTTGTCATGATATAAAAGACTGTTTAGTGTAGACACTATTAATTAATATATTTTGTGAGTTAATATTTTATGATTGTTTAGTATTTTTTTATAATAAGAGAGTTAAAAGCAGATAACTGTTGGAAGCTGTGTTTATAATTCATTGAAGCTGAGACTATCAAATGTTGTGGGCAGATGATTTAGTGATAAACATACAAATAGTGTGAGATGAGTGGAAACAGCAGACAGGTAATAGCAGAAGAGAGTAAAGTCACGGCCAAAGAAAAGTTTGGCATGAAGTTAACTACCAGAGAAATGATAAGCCTAACATTTAATATGTTAGAGTAAGACTAACAGTAAAAAAGGAGATAATAATAATAATTTATTCCATCAAACTGTGATTCTTAAGTAACTGAATCAACAGGAGTGCACTTTGACAAAAGGAACAGAGGATATTTTGAAGAAAGAAGACCAAACAATTAGTGGAAGAGCAGTATACTCACACCACAATTGTAAGTGAATTATACACAGAATACTAGTGCAATAGTAACAGAGAAAATAGTTAGGCTTGTCAACTGAAATTCTAAAGCAAATGAATAGATCTAAGTGGACCTTTAACAACAAGAACTATATATATATAGTGTCTATGATATGCCTATAATCTCTATAGTGTGAAGAATTTGTTGTACATATATTTAAATTGTTCCGAATATATATATATTATTTTGAAAACAATTGGAGTGCGTGCTGTTCATTTATCACCAACAAGTCACAGAATCCTAAGCCCAACAACAACAGCAACACAGTATAAATTTATACTATTAAGAAGTATAAGTAAAGCCTTTAATTGACAATTGGCAAACATAACTTAACATCTGACACTCCTAATGAAGAATAGTAAGAAAAGCTTAATGAACTAGACCATGAAAATAAATATGCATCACTGTACCACATGCATAGTCTCACAGTTCCCAAATTATGGAAGAATCATTTGGATGTTGGGAATAAGACAGATCTCTATGTATGGAATCATGTGAATTTCATTAAAAGCCCCATAACAGCACACTAGATGGCATAAGCCCTGATATAATGAGACAACATCAAGTAAATGGTTGAGACAAATTGCTCAGCAGAAAAGGTGTTCACATGAGTATAACCTAAAAAGATTTAGTGTTATCAAGGGTAAAAACTTCTAATGTAGGGAAGTTACCAGGAAACACACCAGATCAAACATTTTCAAAGTGGTGTGCAAATTCTGAACAATCAAAGAGAGTAGCAGAATGAGTCAGCAGCAACTATCATTTTATCTAGTGCTGACCAAAGTGATGCAGAGAAATATCAGTATTAGATGTCCATTAAACCAGAAAGTAAAATAAAATGCTTCAATCCAAAATATTACAAATGGGTTCCAAGTACAATGTAAGGAAGCAGAGTACAAGATTTTATGCTGGATACTGTCAGAGGCTCACATATTGGACATTCATCAAGAGAGATGGTTAATGAAAAATACAAGTCAATGCCAAACACCAACTGTCAAAAAGCAAAGAAAACAAGTCATATGTAATGGTAAAAAGTAAATATTTACTTCAGCAAATTGTCAATGATAGTGCTTGGAAGAAGTAAAAACATGTGAAATCTTCCACAGACATTACTTGAAGATTTGTCAATGAAATCCTGGTAAAAACAACAAGAGAAAAATCATGTTTCTCACCGAGAAAGAACTTGGAGTAATTGGTTTAGACCATCTCCCAAAGAGCCAAAATATAATACTTAAGAAGCCAAATCCAAGTTAAACACATCAACAAAATATTAATTATCAGTGATGTTAGGTAATGTAAAAAGCTGGGTACCATTCCATTAAAAGAAGAAGAAGAAGAAAAAAAATAGGCAGGGGTAGATATAATGTGCTTTCAAAAAGCACTGCTCCATTCAATGTAGATAATGCAATATTTTGGCAGTGTCTACATGTTCCAGCCACAAACACATTCACACCCTGTATATCTGGAATGCTTTACAGCCATGTCCTTTTTATTGGTTGTTCATTCTGTTGGAAAATTTACATCCTGGGAAGCAGGCTACTTGGCTGTAGGTGCTGATCAAAGTTACTTTTAGCATGGGCCTATTGCAGATATCCTACAAGATATATCACAACTTGGGAGCTCTTTTCACACAGGAAAGGTGCATTGCAACTAATTCATAACCACCATAGTAACCACAAAATTAGTCATATTATAACCTTTGATAATTTTGTGGAAATAAATTTTCAAACTGGAAGCAAAATATGATTCTCTGTACATAAAACAATGTAATATAATATAAAATGTTAGAGAGAATTATTGGCAATTTCTGAAAGAGAGGATGTGGCAGGTGGTTATGTCATGTGGGTCTGATTTTATAGTTTAGAGCTCTAAGCTAATAAGATAGAAGGTTAAAAAATTATGTTTTGCCTGAGTAATAACTATATTATAATGAGTAATTTATGTTAAATTACATACTTCTCATACAAGGGGAGGTTTAGGATTTATTTAAATATTTCCTTTTACAATTAAGAAGTTAAAACTTATATAACATTAAAATTTGATTTACTAATTATGCTTTTATGCCAAGTTTATTCATATACTTCGATAATAAAGTAGTTTAATTAAATTTTGAATTTAACTCTGTAAAAGATTGTGATGTGTGCACTTTAACCTATCCATAGTGACAAGGTTAAAGAACATGTTGTGTTATTAATGATGTTATTGTTTACTAATAATAAAATATACTCCTCTTTATCTATTTAACTTTTTTTAAGACCCATGGCCACAAAAAAGTAGGATATTTTACTAAAAATTTGGCTGAAGCAAAAGTATGACAAATA